GGAAAAGTCTCCTGCTGTAGGCAGGACCTTAGCTAAGACTTGATGGAAGCCAGGGAGGTCGATTAGAGCAGAGGAGAGAGAGTATTCAAGTTATGGGGGACAGCCAGAGAAAAAGTCCAGAGCCAAGACATGGCATGGCCAGTGTCCCTGGTTCGAAGAGTGTGGGGAGAAGACAGGCTGGAAAGAGAGGAGGGGGCGAGGTTATGAAGGGCTTCAAAACAAAACAAAATTATAAATGGTGAAGTATGCTATCTTCAGAGAATTTGGGGACAATCAGTTCTCAAGGCCATGGGTTCCCCTCTAGGTCCTCAAGTGCAGCTCTTTCACTGAATCCAAACTTCAGAGAAGTTTCACACTTGAGGACCTAGGGGGCCACACCCCTGGCTCTAGCCAGGCTTTCTTCTCCCCAACATGTCATGTCTCCCTCCCATCCCCAGAAGCACAAGGCACTGGCTCTTTGGCCCCCCAAGATGCTTGTTTTAGCATAGGTAACATATCCACAGGCTATGGCCTGTTCAGGGAGGGAGGGAGCTAAGGATGAGGAGTGTTTCTACATCCTGACATCTCCAAAGCACTTGAGCCATGGTAACTAATTAATCCTCATGACACTCTAGGAGGCAGCAGGGCATAACACACTGACTTTTACTGGGTGTTTGCAGGAAGGTTCCCTCAGTTTTCCAGTGACATCCGAAGTTAGTTTTAGGTCAAATTTTCTACCCTTGAGACAACATGGAATAGTGGGATGAACTCTGGGAGTTGGGAAGCCTGGGTTCTGGTTCCAGCTTTGCCACTTAGTAGCTGTGTGACCTTGGACAAACCTCTGCCCTTTGCAGTGCCTATCTGTGAAATAAAGGCATGGGATTCAATGAGCTCTCAGATCTTCACCAGCTCTCACATTCTACAGTTGTATGCTTTGTCATTATTGCTATGTGACCTTGGGTAGGTCATTTCTGTTCTCTAGGACCCAATTTCCTGATTTCAAAATGAAGAGGTTGGTCTAGGGTAACCCTAAGGTCTTTGCCATCTCCAAAATTTCTCTCTTCTAAGGCCCCTCCCAGCCCTGACATCCCTTGTTCTCAGGCCCCTCCCAGCCCTGACATCCCTTGTTCTCAGGCCCCTCCCAGCCCTGACATCCCTTGTTCTCAGGCCCCTCCCAGCCCTGACATCCCTTGTTCTCAGGCTCCTCCCAGCCCTGACATCCCTTGTTCTCAGGCCCCTCCCAGCCCTGACATCACTTGTTCTCAGGCCTCTCCCAGCCCTGACATCCCTTGCTCTCAGGCCCCTCCAGCTCTCACATTCCCTGTTCTAAGGCCCCTCCCAGCCCTGACATTCTGTATTCATTGTGGTAGATTATTATTATTAATGGAATGGTCCTAGCTCCAAAGAACCTCAAATTTACTCATATTGTTGGGTACAGCTTTGATCTAGGAGTGATGAGGCCCAGGTACTTGTCCTGGTTCTTCCAATAACTCAAGTGAAGTCAAGCCAACAAGAATTTATTAAGCAGCTACTATGTGCCGGGAACTATGCTAAGCCCTGGGGTAACCCAATGTCTAACTGAGCAAGTCATCCCCTATCTCTGTAACATGGGAATAATAACTCCCGTCTTGCTTGTGTCTGGGGTGTTGTAAAAAATTGTCATGGCTAGAGTACTGGACCATTTGGAGTCATGAAAACCTGGGTTCAAATCCTGCCCCTCACTTACCACCTATGTGACCTCAGGCAAATCACTTAACTCTTGGCCTCATTTTTCTCATCAGCAAAATGGGGATAGTAATACCTGAAGTCCCTGCCTCAGAGGGATATAATGGGGCTCCAATGAGATACATAAGAAAAGTACTTTACAAACTTTAAAGCACCATATAAACATTAGGTATTATTATCATTATTATTGTTGTAACCTTTCTATAATATTTTAAACTTTACAAAGCTGCTGGGGAGTACAATTCATTGATAACTGCCTTCTAGGGGCTTACATTCTTATAGGGGGAGTCAATGTGTATACATGTAAGCACATGGAGAATATATGTAAAATGAACTCGAGATTGGCTTGAGAAGGAGGGAACTACCAGCTGGGAGGGGAGGATCACAAAAGGCCTCATGGAAAGAAAGCTCACAGCAGAGCTGGTTTTATCATGAGGACAAAGGTGAAAAGAACTATCGTTTCACGGTTCATGGTTTTCAACCTTCGTCAGGCTTCTTGGATTCTAGGGCTCGTGATGAATGTTTGCAAAAAGATCACCATGAAAGTGATCAGAGACCATGCACCAACTTTTGAAGTGGAGGATGAAAAGGCAGAAAAATGCTACAAACATTGTACGAGACCCTTGAAATTAAACCAACATATACTAGGATCAGTCAGCGACTTCAATGCAAAGAACAGGGGGGAAAAAAGCAGGGAAACCATGGGTCAAAGTCAGGCTTGAGAGATGCCAAAGACTTGTCTGTGGCGGAAGCCTCATGTCATGAATACTTTCTCTGAGACAAAAATTAAAAGATTACGGATACAGCAAGCAACGAACATCTTCTTCCAAAATGAAATAGTTTCTATTTTATCAGTCAGTAAACAACTTGTTAATGTTGTAGGAATTGATCCTGAATCAGGGTATAGTCATACTATTAACTTGGTAGAGCAAAGATAAAAATTTGTTAAAAAAAAAAAGAGAGAGAGAGAGAGAAAGAAAGAAAAAAGAAAGAAAGAAAAGGAAAGCCATAAAGCAAAGAAACAGACATTTATTAAGTGCTTCCTGTATGTCAGGCACTGTGCTAAGTACTTCACAGATTCTGTCTCACTTGATCCCCAGATTCTAGGAGGGAGGTGCTGTTATTGTCCCCATTTTACAGATGAAGAATCTGTCTGAGAGAAATAAGTGACTTGCCTAGATTCATGGAGCTAGTAAGTGCCTGACTCCAGGCCTAGCACTATCCATTGCACTGTCTAGCTGCCAGACAGAGAGATATAGCTGCCAAGAGCAACACAGGTTTAGAATACAACCTTGTTTATAGGATTTTACGGAGGATGGCAGAAGATTATGAGCAACATTAACTCATGAAACAGAGAAAAGAAGTGGAGGATAAGGCAGGTTTAGAGAAAACTCGGCAGGCAATCCAAATGAGCAACGTCATCCCAAGAAATGATGAATCTGGAAGAACAGCAAACAGATAAAAGATGGAAAAGATCTGAAAAGATTATTATAACAACTCTTTTCACCAGGAAGGACATGGGCTCTAATATACCCATCAAAGACGTACTTGTAGAAAAGATAACAATGACCCTGAAGAGAACAAAGATATCAAAATAGATGGATTAGCCAAAGCTACGCAAAAGAGGTCAGTGCAGGAGATGACACAATCTTGGAGGCATTGAAGGAGAGGAAGATATTAATAGCATCAGCAAAAAATGTTACCAAAAAAGGGGGGAGCTGAAAGAGCATCAAATATATATTGACTATAATATATGCCTACTTCCATCATATGAATAACTTACATATGCATCCAGGGCATCTTTGATGAGAATGTTAAAAGACAGTGGCAGAAATTTGCACATATTACCCATCACACAATTGACTGAAGATGTGGAAAATCCAAGGTAATTACTAATGCTTGTGGACTGAAGGATCAAAGTCTAGGGTCACTAAAGGAATTTTAGTTGGCTGTAATACATTCCAAAAGAAGAATAAATAAAGACATAAACGAGAAACAAAAAGATAGGCTGGTCAAGTATCAAGAACCTGGGATAGTCAAAGCTACTTTGGTATCCATACAATAACAAGGGATATAGAAGATTCTCAATGTAGTGATCAGTTGGCTGTCCGGGAGAGGATTCATCGCTCAACAAGCATTAATTATTTTCTACGTGTCAGGTAATGTGATACCAAAGGAGCTACAAAAAAGAAAAAATCATGGTCCCTGTCTTTGAGGACCTCATTTTCTAATGGGGAAGACAGCAGGCAAGACAATATGAAAATGAATCAAGTCAGAATAGGCGAAATGGCCTGAGAAAGTAATAAGAGGTTCAAAAAGTTGGGGTATAGAGGAAGGCAATGAATAGGTGTAGCAGGGGTAAACACAGGGAGAAGCAAAGTGACAGGAGGCTATGGTTGGATAGATGAAGGGCGGAGTGCCTAATTAGCAAGTGAACCCATTGTGGCTAATGGTAAGCTCTGGAGTGGGATCCTCCTTATGTGTGGTTGAGGAGGAGTGAAGGTCATGGGATTGGGGAGGTTGAGGAAAGAGAAGTTAAGGGGTTTCAGGGAGAGGCCACACGGATATTAAGGTCCTCTGATGTAAGGGTGGGGATTGAGAAAGAGGAGAAGATGGTGGGCCAGGGAAGAACTTCAGAAAGGAGGGAGGGACATGGAGAGGCGCTCCCTGGAAACTCTCTACCATATGTACAGGAAACTGGTCTGGTACAACACAGAAACAAAGCAAAACTCTCATAAAGGAACTAGAGAGTCCCAGGGGATGGCCAGGCAGGAAAGGGTTGAGATTTGTACTGGAGGAGGGAGTCCTCACATGCCTGAGATCTCAGATCTGTGAGAGTATTGAAGTTTTCTCTCTCCCCGAGACATTCCCTTTTTAATGGCTACCCTCCAATAGGGAAGAACTCAAGCCCTGATCGTTTGCTTCCCAGGGTTTAGTGTCACATGTTTATGACCATTTTTGGCTTTGTACAAATCGTGAGATTTGTGGATAGATTTTGTTTTGTTTTTCTAATAAAATAAAGAAAAAAACCATTCCATCAGAGGCGGGGCTCGAACCCACAGGTTCCCAGGGCACCCGCTATCCGCGGGATACTAAGTCTCCACTCTGCATACAGCCCTGAAGGGGGTGGGGCAAGCTGACTCTCCTACGGACCGGGAGCATTGATAAAGGCCTCCGGCTGCCTAGAAGAGACTTCCTGCGGGGGTGGATTCTGACGCACAGCCCCTCCCCTCGCCGCCTCTATGGTTCCGGAAAGGGCTGGCTTCACTTCTCTTTCCTCCGGCCTGTTCTCGCATGCAAGAGGGGTGGGGCGTCTCCCTCAGGATCGGCCTTATGATTGGCTGGTTGTGCCGTTCTTCGGCAGGCCCCGCCTCCCATGTCCCGCGCATGTGTCCTCCGGCAGGAACGGCGGTGCTCCGGCTTCGGTGGGTGAAAGCGTGGGGGCGTGGGCATGTGGGGCGGAGAGCTGCGGGGCTGTCTGGGTCTGGGGGGGCTGAACCCCGACTTTGGAGAGGGGATGGGGGGAATGAAGGTTGGGGTCTGGCTAGCGGGAGTGCCTTTCGAGCGAGCCACGTGCTCGCACCGCCTTCTACGCCTCGGTTTCCCCCAGTGATTCGGCCCCTCCCCGGCGTGGGAACTGGATGGCGCCATCCTAGAGATAGGACAGGTTCGGGCTGTAAAGCACCATGATCCTCGAGCCCACTCCCATGTTATAGATGTGGAAACAGAGGCCCAGGCAGGGCAAGTGACATCCGTGAAATCAATGGCCGAGCTCCTAGGAGCGAAGTCAGATGGGGCGTACCTCTTCCCATTTCACACTTGGGGAAACTGAGGCCCATTTGGCAGAGCCCATGAGCCGTGGGTGTCCTCCCGTCCAGCCAGGGGAGCCTGTCGAGGCTTCCTCTTCCCATTTCACAGGTGGGGGAAACAGGCCCAAAGGTGGTGAGCCAGTCATCTAGAGATGGCCCAGCCCATGGGCAGTGCCTTCCTGTTCTGGGAGGTAAGCCAGGAGGGCCCTTCTCACCCCAAAGCTACGGTGCTAGGAAGTTTCCTTCTCCCATAAAATGAGGCGGTTGGGGACCAATGGACCCTGAGAAGGGTGACCGAGGTGATGGGAACAAGGGAGGTTCAGGGCTGGCAAGAGCCCCAGAAGTCTCTGTCCTTTTGCAGATGGGGAAACTGACCTGAACGAAATAAACACGCTCCTGCAGGGTCCTGGGGTTCAGGTTTGATTGTGGACTCATGAAAACTAGAGACTGTTCCTACCTTGGTGTAAAGGGAAGATTTGGAGCAGAGAACCAGGTTCTAGTCCTGTCTTACTGCTGATGTGACCTTTAGGCAAATCCTCTATAAAGTGATGAGAGCGTGCCCCAGACAACCTTTGAGGTTCCTTCCAGCTTTGAATCCTAGGATTATTTCACTTGTCTGTAACCTCATCTCCCCCAGCACGGTAACTACTGGCTGTTTTTTGGTCATTTGTATACCTGAACCTGTGATTTCATCTGTGAAGGGTGAGGAACTCCTCTAGCTCTGCACTTTATAGTCTGTGAGAGCTTCAAGAGACCTGTGCAGGGTGGGAACCAAGGTTCCCCTGACTCCGGGGCCAGCCTTCTAGCTACTTTGCCGTGCTGGTGCGTGGTACCTCTGTTGGGAACACAATTTTAAATTTAAATGAGAGGGAAGGTTAATAAGAGAAAGGAAAAAAATTAGACTGGTGAAAATTTGACTACTCAGAGCTGTGTGAGAGAGAGAAGGGAGTCCTGCTTGAACCAGAAAGAATTAGGAGGAGAGCGAATCAGCAGGTTTATTAGATGTTATCCTTAGGTTAAGAGTAGCCTGCCTTTCCAGGTTTATAAAGTGCTTGGCTCGTAACAGATAACCTAACCCTGTGGCTCTTGTTTAGTTGTGTCTGATTCTTTGTGACCCCATTTGGGGTTTTCTTGGCAAAGATACTTGGCCATTTCCTTCTCCAGCTTATTATACAGATGAGGAAACTGAGGCAAACAGGGTGAAGTGACTTGCCCAGGGTCACAGCTAGTAAATGTCTGAGGCCGGATTTGAACTGTCTGCCTGACTTCAGGCCCAGCACTATCCACTGTGCCACCTAGCTTCTGTGTGGAGTGAATGCTTAATGGTACATAACTCATTTTCCTACAGATCTGAGTGATTCTCAGCCCAGAGTGGTATGGAAGGGCTTCTGAGAAGATGGAGGGGCTTTCCTGGTATACTGTTGGCCAACTGCCCCCTGCCACAGCATCCCCTTTGCAGGCCTTACCATCGTCCCCCAGGCAGAGTGAAACGCCTGGTGCTGTCCCGTTTTTTCCAGCCTCAGAACCTGCGAGAAGATCAGGTGGTTGGACTAGAAGCAGGTCTGCTGAGCTGACCTGTAAGAGCCAGAGGCTGATGCTGCAGACCGGGCTGATTCACCCTGCTGGTGCTGGCTGTTACCACTACCTGCCCTACACCATTCGAGCCATGGAGAAGCTGGTCAGGGTGATAGACCAGGAGATGCAGGCCATCGGTGGGCAGAAGCTAGACATGCCCACCCTGAGCTCAGCCAAGCTCTGGAGAGCCACCGGCCGGTGGGACCTAATGGGCAGGGAGCTCTTTCAGCTGCGGGATCGTCATAACAAAGAATACTGCTTGGGACCGACACACGAGGAAGCCATCACCTGCCTGATCGCCTCTCAGAAGACCCTGTCCTACAAGCAGCTTCCCTACCTGCTGTATCAGGTCACACGGAAGTTCCGGGATGAGCCCAGGCCCCGCTTTGGCCTCCTCCGAGGCCGGGAGTTTTACATGAAGGACATGTACACCTTTGACTGCTCTTCCGAAGCCGCTCACCAGACATATGATCTGGTGTGTGATGCTTACGGCAGGGTGTTTAACCGGCTGGGCCTTCACTTCATTAGGGTGCAGGCAGCCGTGGGAAGCATTGGGGGTACGATATCTCATGAGTTTCAGCTCCCGTTGAACATTGGAGAAGACGTGCTCGCAGTCTGCTCCATGTGCAGTTTCACAGCCAATGTGGAGATGCTGGATCCCAAGCAGCCAAATTGCCCTGTTTGCCAGGGGAAACTGACAGAAACCAAAGGTGTTGAAGTGGGGCACACCTTCTATCTGGGCACCAAGTACTCTTCTGTATTCAATGCCCAGTTTGTTAACGCTCGGGGAAAGCCTGCACTCTTAGAAATGGGGTGCTATGGGTTAGGTGTGACTCGTATCTTAGCTGCGGCCATTGAAGGACTTTCCACGGAAGAGTGTATCCGCTGGCCTGGTCTGCTTGCCCCTTACCAAGTCTGCCTTATTCCTCCAAAAAAGGGCAGCAAGGAAGAGGTGGCAGTGGAGTTGATGGAGACTCTCTATGACGATATCACTGAAGCCTTGCCCCAGCTGCAGGGGGAGGTTTTGATTGATGACAGGACACATTTGACCATTGGAAATAGATTGAAAGATGCCAACAAACTTGGCTACCCCTTTGTTGTGATAGCTGGCAAGAGAGCCTTGGAACAGCCCTGCCATTTTGAGGTTTGGTGTCAGAGCACCGATGAGGTGACGTTCCTCCCCAAACAAGGAGTGATCGATTTGCTGCGTGCGGTACAGGTTGTCTAAAGGCCCGATCTCTGATCCTTACCAAGTTATGTCCTTTCACAATTATGTTGTGCACTGTTCCCTCTAGACACAATGCAGCTGGTGGAAGATGGACGCTAGTTAGGAGAGCAAGGTTTCATCATTCATTCATTCAGTGAACATCACTGGTTCATATAAAAAGAAAGAAATTTGATTTCTCTTTTCCACTGACTGTCCACCTGCTCTACTGTAAATCAGTAGACCCTCCTGTGATGTGAGGAGGATGTTGATGGCAGGCAATTCTTAGTCTTCAACTTAAAGGCCAAGTCTTCCCACTCAAAGCCAATGGGAAGGTTGAAACAATTAGATGGGAGAGCAAATGAGAAACTTCCCCAGGAGACCTTAGCCCCGATTAGGCTGGACTAAGCCTTAGCTCCTTTTCGCTTGATTCACAAGGACAAGCTGTTGGATTAGGAGCCTCAAATATAAAAATGTTCATTTTTAGCCTCTGTAATGTCTAGCCATGTTAACAGGTCCAGCCAGATCACAACTTGGGAAGGTTTGGAGCCAGGATTAGAGAGCCAAAGCCTTCTGACTTCCTACCCGCTGCGGACGCTGTCAGCTCTTGTTGCGATAGTGAAACCTAAAATCTTGTGCTCTTGATAACAGTGACTTGCTGCCTACCTCAGGGGAATGCAGTGACCACAAATGAGATGCTGTCTGTACAATGATTCCATCCCTTGGAGGAGTCAGAAGGGACCCATGCACCGTGCTCCCAAGCTGTCGTCGTCCTGGACTTGCCGACTTTGTTTCTTGCCACCCATCGATGGCATGGGGGTGTTGGCAAAATACCATGGACAGGCTGTATTATCCCGGCCTGATCCTGAGGGATGTCTGAAAGGAGAGGCAGAGAGAATATTTAGCAGAATTAGCAAAGGGACAAAAATTGGCCGGCATTATAACACTAATAATGGACTCCTTCCACGTTTTAGTGGGAATGAGGCTTGTGCTGCCATGACACTTTCAGGTTTACAAGCACTGTCCTCACAATCCTGGGAGATGGAGATTATGTGAGGATTTGTGTTCTATTTACAGATGAGGAAACTGAGGCTTGGAGAGGTCAGTGACGTGCCCCAGAGCCTTCTGATGAGTCAGAACCAGAGCTGGGCCTCAAACTCAAGTCTGACCCTGACCAGTGCTACTTCTGTCTCAGCAATAAAGAATAGTGCAGAAATTGGTAAACTTTGTGTGTTAAACCATTTGAGAGCTGACCCTCTTCCTCCCTGCTCTGTGCCCCTTCTCCCATCCTTCATTTGCATCCTGGATACTTGGAATGATCAGTGAAGGACACCTAAGGGTTTATTATCTCTGAGATAGGTGGAGGTTTTTTGAAAGAAAATGAGGCAATTTCTTGTTCTCCTATAAAGGGCCATTGACCTTTATGGTTTACAGCACAAACTGATAACTAGGAGAAGCTCCAAGGTGTATCCTTATAAAATGAAGAGGCCCTTCTGAATGCCGATGAAGGGCACCATTTTTTAAGGTTTAACCATTGAGTGCTTAGAGCTTCATATAGCCCCAGAGGGCAGACTCACTAGCTCAGCCCTGGGCAGCTCAAGTGAAAGGCAAGAAAAAAGAAATCTGGTTTCCTCTCTCCCTTTTCCTTTTATTTTCCTACAGTGTGTATGAAGATATGCTATGGAAGTGAATCTAATGATGGAGGAAGAAAATCATGGATAAATTAATACCTCCAGTAATCCCCAAATATGCTCTTAATGGTTTTATTAATGTGTGTGGGAATATAGGATTATTTCTCCTAATTGGTTCTGTTTGGTTACATTTTTTGATAATTTTAATGTAAGAGCCCAACCCCCCATTGTATGGAGGAGGGAATGGAAGCCCAAGTATCTGAGTAACTTGCCCAGTGTCACACAGGTACTAAGTCTCCAAGGTGGGACTCCCGGACCGGGGTTGATTGACTCCAATCACTGTCCTTTTGACTTCATCATGTTGTAATTGTCACCCTTCACCTCTAGCTCTCCCTTGTAGGGCCATGCACAGTGAATCTACCTACCTCTTTTGAAGACAACTAGCATGTCCCCCACATTTCTTATTTTCAGGGCACACATTCCCAGTCTCATCAACCAATCTCCTAGGACATAGTTTTGAATCCCTGCCTCTTCCTGGTCACTCTCCTGGTCATGGTGCAGTTTATCAGCATCCGTCTGTGTTTCCCAGAAGTGCACACGCTACTCTTCATGTGGGCTGACCTGGGTGCAGAACCAGGGGATAGCATCTCTCCTAGCACTACTATTGACAAAACCCTGGTATTCTGTATCTAGAGCTGGAAGGGACATTTAGAAGCCATTGACACCAACCCCCTCATCTTAGAGGAAGAAGCCAAGGCCCAGAGTGTTCCGTGCCTTACCCAAGGTCACAAAGTTAGTAAATGTTATGTAGGATTTGAACCCAGATCTTCCTATCTCCTTAATAAATTGAGCATATATTAAGTGCCTCCTGTGTGTCATACTAGGCAGTCCTTGCCCTTGAGGGGCTTACATTCTATTGCGAGTCCACAAGTAAATATACCATATATACAAAGTGATGGGGTGGGGAGTAGGGGATGGGGCAGTGATGAAGCACTAACTGGCAGAATCAGGACGGCTTCTGCAGTCCTTTCTGCTGCTACAGTTCCATTCTTGTATGAGGTGGACCACGGCTGGGACGCCTTGTGAAATATCCAGTAAATTGGAAACGGAGAAGTCCTCCACGAGCTGATGCTGAACAAAAAGGGCAGAACTGGGAGAGCAGTGTATTTGGTGATAACGTAGAGAAAAACAGCTTTGAACAACTGTGGATTTCTGATCAAGGCCGTGATGAGGCAGGAGTCCAGAGGAATGAAGATGAAACATGGCATTCACCTCTTGACGGAGAGAGGATGAACTGGAAATGTAGACATGGATGTCCATTTCCCCACATGGTAAATATGAGAATGTGTCTGACCGGTGATGTGCAGATGTATCGAGGGGTCTGTTTGTTGTTCAATTTATTCAAGCAAGGGGAGGTGGCAAGAGGAACAGATTACTTCAAAAAACTGCAAGTGTCTGAGCGAATCACCAGGCAGAAGGAGGGAATCTAGGACCTCGCCATTCTTGACAGCCGTATATCACTTTGCTTTCCTTCAGCAAAAATTTCCCCAGATTTTTTTTGGGGGGGGAGGGAGAGTCTTTCCTAGACACATTTCTTCTCTCTTGTGCATTAAGACACTGATTTTCTGAATCCAAGCAAAAGATTTTACATTTATCCTTGTTTCATTTTATTAAATTCAGCCCAATGCTCTAGCCTGCCAAAATTTTGGGTCCTGACTCTGTCATCTGGTGTTTTAGCTATCCCTTCCAACTTAATGGCATCTGTAAATTTGATAAGCATGCTATCTATGTGTTTATCTAAGTCATTGATCAAAATATTAGCAAAAGATCTAGTACCGATGTTCATCCATTAGAGACTTCCTGCTAAGTGGACATTAAATCATTAGTAGCCACTCTTTGAGTCCAGTCATTTAACCATCTTTTTAAAAATTGCATCTTATTTTTCTGATTAACAAGCATTTATTTTCTCTTCCTCCTCCACAATGAAAAAAACAAAACAAAACTGTTGTAACAAATATACATAGTCAAAAAAAAATTTCCACACTATTTCAGCCCTCTGGTATCATATTTGGTCATTCCTTTGATCAGAGTTCTAAAGTCTTTCAAAGCTGCAGGGTGGATACAGGGAGAAAGTATTGGACAAGTCATGTAATCTCTCTGACCCTCAATTTCCCCCTATCTGTAGAATGAGTGTTTTGGATGAGAGAATCTCGCCCCAGACCTGATGAGTGGAGGGTTACCTGTGGAGATTCACCATTCTTCAGAGTGTGATCAGAGGAACTGCTATCTAAGGGATTAATGTACATTTCTGACAAGCAGCAGTGCTCATGGCTGCTAATTAGCTCACACAGTTAAAGCTTAATTGAGCTCAGCTAATTAAAATGGTGTAGAGGCCGAAAGGGTTTGTAGGATAGCAGATTCCTAACTAAGGGGAACTGAGGCCCGTGTATCTACAAGGTTAAAACCACCTCCCAGGGCAGCCTTTGTCAAGGCCACTGGCTGGCTCACTTCAGCATGCTGATGAGTTAAGTCACTGGCCTTGGCTGGAGCACTTCTGTGGCTGGTCATGAAAATGTTCTGGCCATGTGGTTTTTCCCTAGGCTCTAACACTTAGGGTGTGACAATGAGCTTAGGCACCCGAGCCTCAGTTTCCTCATCTGTAAAATGGAGAATGCTAGGTTTGTTACCTACCTTGTGGGGTTGTTATAAAGAAGGCATTTTGTAAATCTGAAAGTACTAAAGAAACGTGTATTATTATTATTACTACTGTAGTTTATGAGGCAGGGTTGCCTGCGTATAGAAAGCTGGCCTGGGAGTCAGATCCAGTGGATGACACACAATGGCTGTTTCCCTCTTTGGGGCCCAGGGCTCTAAGACTCTCAGGTGCAGAGCAGGTGTTGACCTGCCTTGGGGGAGGGAATTCCCCGGACCAGTGAAGTCGCAGGTATGGATCCAAAAACCTGTCACTATTAGGTAAGTCAGAGCATGACACAGATGTGAGGGCGGCAGGTGCTCTTAAGTCTGGGACTGAATCCTGCTTCAAATACTCAGAAACTGTTTACACTTTTTATTCTTTCAATTAAGTATTCTAAAACATTAATCTGTCCCTCCCCTTTCCTGCCACAGAGGCAGCTGATGGAGCAGTGGATTCAGAAAGACCTGAATTCAAATCCATCCTCAGACACTTTAAAAAAATTAAATAGTATTTTATTTTTTCCAATTAAATGTAAAGAGAGTTTTCAACATTCATTTTTTATAAGATTTTGAGTTCTATATTTTTCTCCCTCCCTCCTCTCCCACCTCCCCAAGATGGCAAGCAATCTCAGACACTCTTGATAGCAGTGTGACCCCAGCAAGTCACTTAACCTGTTTGCCTCAGTTTCCTCAACTGTAAAATGGGGATAATAATATCTACTAAATGAGGTAATAATTGTGAAGTGCTTGGTATACAGTAGGAGCTACATAAATACTCCCTTCCCACCTCAAAAATATGTCTCTGTATAGTCCCCCGTTAGCCGTGTCCAAAAACGTCCATCTCTCTCCTGATCAGTCTTCTAAAGTCTCTCAAGGTTGTTTTTCTGTATAATGTGGTGGTCGTGATCTAAATCGTTCTGCCTCTGCTCACTTCTCTCCACACTGGTTCACACAGGTCTTCCCAGGTTCCTCTGAAATTGTCCGTTTCATCATTTCTCGTGGTGCAGTCCTACACCATTCCATTCATGTGCCATCTTGTTTAGTCCCAACGGGAAGGCACCCCTTTAATTTTCAGTTTGGGGCTGCCATGAAAAGAGCTGCTATAGGCATTTCTGCACATAAAGATTCTTTTCCTTCCTCTGGTTTCTTGGGGGGGTGGGGTCTGGGTCAAAGGGTATGCACAATTTGGTAACTTTCTAGACAACTTAGCCATTTGACCTTAGGTAAGTCACTTAACCTTCTGAGCCTTATTGTCTTCATCTGTAGAATAGCGATGATAAAAATTCCTACCTCACAGGCTTATTGTGTGGCACAGATGAGACTGTGGCTATAGATAGTTTCACAGACCTTAAAATTCCAAATAAATGCTGGCATTACTATCGTGAACAGACTGGATATTGTGGCAGCCGTGGCAGCACAGATGCTTTGTACCTTTGGTGAGGAGTCGTCAGGGCTAAGGATTATTCAGCTCAGTACGGTCATAGAAATGGTTTGGAGTCACCACTTTGACTCTCCTCTTCCCAGGGACACATGGGTGTGGGGAGAGGAGAGGGTGCCTCCCAAGCCCCTGTCCCTGACAATATCTCCTCAGTAAATGCCTCAGTAAAAGTTAATTGATTTTAGTTGCTTGTCAGTGTCATTGAGCAGATTATCGACTGGTTAATGATACCACTAACACTGGTGATTGATAGTGGAGGGGAAGATACCAGCGTGGGGCTTAAGACTATAGTGCCAGGATTCACCTTCAACTTTCTGGGGTTACCCCAAACCCTAAGGAGGAGATGTATCTAAATTGGGGTTGGGAGAGCCCCAAAGTAGACACAAACACATAAACTGTAGCTGTGACCTTGGACAGCTCAATCAATAATTATTTATTAGACTCCAACTATATGCC